CCCAACGGAGAGAAGGGTCACTATTCCCTGCCAACAGATTATGGAATTGTATGAGGGACCTAAGAGTTAAGATCGTTAACGCTTTATAATAATAGCTGACAGCCATTGATTCTTATAACGAGCTAGACGCTGGACTAGACACCTTTCATGCACTATCTCATCTCATCCTCACGCCAATCTTGGGGAATACTTTTATTTTTCCCAGTTTAAAGTGAGGAAATGGGGATTAGAAGAGATTAGGGAATTTGATCCAATTTATGTACCAGCAAGTAGTAATTGTGAGGTTCGAGTCGAGACAACTTGAACTGCACAGCCCTTTTGATTATGACGTTATAGATTTCGCACATAGTAAATGCACCGTAAATAAACTGTTCAATGAATGAATAAAGAATCTTTTATATCAAAAGTGTAGCCACACAATGGAAGACCTTTTGACATTTTAAAGGCATGATTTACTAGGTTTCACTATGTAGCAAAGAAATATAAAGGAGGGAGGAAGGAAGATAGGTTACTTTAGAGGGTGAATTTCTAGAGAAATTTCAAGGCAGAAGGAACTTTTGACAAACACAATGGTACAGAAGAGATTCACGCCGACAGTGCTGGCTGGGGATACTGAAGGTGAGAAAAAGAAACGGCACCATTAAATTCTTCGTGATAGCACTGCCCAGCGAGCCTGCTTCCACTTCACGGCACTGAAACGTAATTCACATGTCATAAAATTAACCCAGTTAAAGTGTACAATTCGGTGGTTTTTAGTATATTCAGAGTTGTGCAGCCATCGCCACAATCTAATTTTAGAACATTTTCATCACCTCCAAAAAGAAACCCTGTCCCCACCAGCAGTCACTCACCATCCATCCTCCCCCAGCGCTAGACGACAACTAATCTACTTCCTGTCTCTGCAGAATAGATTTGCCATTCGGCACATTTCATGTAAATGGAATCATACAATACGTGGACTCTTGCGACTAGCTTTTTCACTTAGCGAAATGTTTTCGGCATTCATCCACGTCGTAGCGTGTGCCAGCGCTGTATTCCTCTGCTGCCCGCCCAGCACTTTATCAAAGAATAATTTACCTAAAGGAAATGCACAAATATGAAGTGTTTGGCTCCACTGCTTTTTACAAACTGTGTAAACTCATGTGACCTCCACCAAGATCAAGATGTAGCACATTTTTATCACTCCAGAGAGCTAGTTTCCTTATGTACTTTAAAATTTTTTTGGTCAAGTACACATAAGATGAAATTTACCATCCTAACCATTTTTAAGTGTGCAGTTCAGTAGTGTTACGTATACACACATTACTGTGCAAACAATTTCCAGAACTTTTTTGTCTCACAAAACTGAAACTCTATTCATTAAACATCAATTTCCCAGGTCCCCTCCCCCCAGCCCCTGGCAACCACAATTGTACTTTCTGATTCTATGAGTTTGTATCCAGAAACCTGTGAATGAAATCATATATTATTTATCTTTTTGTAACTACCTTATTTCATTTAGCATAACGTTCTCATGATTCATCCATGTTGTAGCATGTGTCAGAATTTCCTTCCTTTTTAAGGCTGATTAATATTCCATGACACGCGCACACTCACACACCACGTTTTGTTTATCCATTCATCCGTGAATGGGCATTTGAGTTACTTCCATCTTTTGGCTCTTGTGAATAATGCTGCTGTGAATAAGGGTGTGCAAATATCTCTTTGAGATACCGCTATCAATTCTTTTGGCTGTATATTCAGTAGTATTCCTGGATCATGTGATAATTCTATTTTTAATTTTTTGAGGAAGCACCATACCGTTTCTCATAGTGGTGTCACCATTTTACATTCCCACCAACAGTGCACAAGAGTTCCGATTTTTACACATCATTGCCAACATCTGTTGTTTTCGTTTTTTTAAAATAGCGACCATCTTAATGGGTGTGAGGAGATATTGTGGTTTTAATTTGCATTTCCCTAGTGATTAGTGATTTCAAGAATTTTCCTGTGATCTGGCCACTTGTATATCTTCTTTGGAGAAATGTCTAAGTCCCTTGCCATTTTTTATTTTTTAATAACAGCTTTATTGAAATATAATTCACATACCTTATAATTGTCTCATTTGAAATATAGAATTCAATCTTTTTGTATATTCACAGAATTATCACCATAGTCAGTTTTAGAACATTATCATCACCCCCAAAAGAAACCCCATACCCTTTGGCTATTATACCCAGCCCCCTACCCCCACCCTAGCCCCATACCTCCCAGCCTTAGGCAACCACTAAGCTACTTTCTGTCTCTTTGGATTTGCCTATTCTGAACATTTCATGTAAATGGACTTAAGCAGTACAAGATCTTTTAAGACCAGCTTCTTTGACTCAGCATGACACATATGAAATACTGTCTATGAGGGAAGCTTGTTAGAGACTCTGTGGGAAAGCTGTTTATTGGGGGCTGGTCAGCAAGCACCCTCTGCCCACCACATACCAAAATCCCTGTCTCCCAGAGGGGAAAGCCAGTGTTCACCATCAACCCCCATGTTTGCTCAGTGAGCTCCTCTGACCCACTGGGGTGGTGGGAACTCTCCCCAGACCAAGGTCCGGGACCTGGCCAAGGGCCAGCCCTGCAAGCAGGACCTTCAGATGATCACATTCACAAGCCTGCTATGTTAACTCTTTTCTGCACAGATTTTGATAGGGATTGTGTTGATTCTGCAGCTCAGTTGGAGATGTAGGATGGAGAGTATTGCAATCTTAACACTATTAAGCATTATAACTGACGAACATGGGATCTTTCCATTTATTTAGATCTTTCAATGAAGTTTTGTAGTTTCCAGTGTTCGCATCTTGCACTTCTTTTGTTAAATTTATTTCTCTAAGTATTTTATTCCTTTTGATGCCATTATAAGTGGAATTTTCTTAATTTCATTTTCAGATTATTCCTTGCAAATGTATAGAGATGCAATTGATTTTTGTATATTGATCTTGTATCCTGCAACCTTGAGTTTATTAGCTCTGATAAATGTTTTTGTGGATTCTTTAGCCTGTTAATATATGGATTACATAAACTGATTTTTTTTTTTTTAACCAGCCTTGCATCCCAGGAATATAAGTATATAATACTTTTTATGTTGTGTGAGATTCTGTTTCTAACATCTTGCTAAAGATTTCGGATCTGTTTTTACTTTGCCCATTTTTTTAATCGGGTTATTTATATTTTTTGTTATTTCATTGTAGGAGTTCTTTATATATTGTGGAAATTAACCCCTTATCAGATGTGGTTTGCAAATATTTTCTATCATTCTGTAGGTTGCCTTTCCACTCTTTTAATTGTGGTTTTTGATACACAAGTTTTAAATGTTGCTGTAGTTGATCTATCTTTGGTTTATCTGTTTTATCTACTTTTCTTTTGCTTCCTGGCTTTTGAAGAAATCATTGCCAACCCAATGACACAAAGCTTTCCCTTTATATTTCTTCTAAGAGTTTTAAGAGTTTAGATTTAAGAGTTCTAAGGTTTAGAGGTCTTTGACCCATTTTGAGTTGATTTTTGTATATGGTGTAAGATAAGGATCCAGCTTCATGCCTTTGCATGTGGGTATCCAATTTTTCCAGCACCATTTGTTGAAAAGACTGTCCTTTTCCCCAATGAGTGGTCTCGGCACCCTTGCTGAAAATCATTTGACCATATGTGTGAGGTTCTATTTCTGGGCTCTCTGTTCTTTTCCTTCACTGCTTTTACAGCCAAGTAATATTCTTGGGGGTATGTTATACCGTATTTTATTTCTAGTAAGCCTGATATTCGATCTCGGTGTTTAACCGCTGAGTGTTGTGACATCTGTGACTATGGATTGCAGATCCTTTGCCTCGGAGCCTCCCTTCGGTTGTGAGAACATTGTATCCTCTGAAAACAATGTCGATTTTGTTTCTTTGCTTTTGCTTTTTGTTTGTGATTCTGGAACCTCATTGTGGAAACAATCGGGTACATCTGCCACAAAGAAAGCTGGCAGTATATTCCTGGGAAAGACAAGCTCCACTGCCGTTATCTGCCTGCAGTGATTACAAACCTCTGACCAAACCTGAAGCAATCCGTTTTGTAACCCTAATATTATCAGCACATGCCCTGTTTATCTGTAGAATGCTTTCTGGTTTTCAAAGTTGACAGTGATTTTCGCCTTACTTATTACTCTACCCACCCCATCCCATGTGCGTGGCGTCTCCATGAGCTTCATGTTTGTTGGAGGAAAGAAAGAAAACCAGCTAACATTTTTGAGCGCTTCCTAAGTGCTTTTTGTCATACGCGTTAGCTCGTGATCTCATCTTAATACATTCCTCGCAGCAATCCTCCCACGTCGGTACTGTTATTCACGGAGGGGGAAACTGAGGCCCAGAGTTCGGTCACTTGGCCAAGGCTACCGCGTTGTTCAGTTTGGGAGCCCAGGAATCAGCAAACGGCGTCGCACGGGGATTCTCCCTTTGACCTGGGGTCAGATGTCCCAGGTCCTGGCGGCCGTTGGCCCGGGAGCCGCGCGCACCTGCCCCATGGGTCTCCCTCCGCCCACTCTGCAGATGCTAAGGCTGCAAAGCTAGAGAGTAGGGAGGGCAGAGTTGTGTGCTTTTTACCCTTTCCCTGACTCGCCTTGGAAGGTCCGCCCCCGGCCCCATGGAAACCGGGGTCGGGTCGCGGCTGTCACCAGGGGCGGAGCTCTGGGCCGCAGCTCCCCCTCCGGTTTCCAGCATCTCTCTGGCGGGTGCGATCACCGTAACCCCCGTAACCTCTCCGTTCCTCTTCTCGGCTGCCCTCCCTTTCCGTTGTCCTTCCGTGCCCCAGACCACATCCTGGAGGCCGCTCTCCTGAACGGTCCCCAGCGGGGACGGCGTCGCGGCCCAGGAGTCACCTCCCCCGCCGCCCTCGGGCCCGCCCCTCGGCTGCACTGATTGGCCGCTCCCGGGAACACCCCCCCGGCTGCGCTGATTGGCAGCTCCAGGCCTCGCCCCCGGGCTGCGCTGATTGGCCGCTCCCGGGCCGGCCCCAGCCGCGGGCAGGCAGGTCCTCTGCCCAGCGGAAAGTTTTCTGCGTCGCGAGGAAGTTGGGCTTCGAGGAAGCAGCTCCCCAGGCCGCGGGAGGGGCGGGGGTCCGGGCGGCCATGGAAGAGCCCCCTTTGCGAGACGGAGAAGAGGAAGACGAGGAGGAGGGGGACGAGGCTGGGCCCGAGGGCGCCCTGGGCAAGAGCCCCTTCCAGCTGACCGCCGAGGACGTGTACGACATCTCCTACGTGGTGGGCCGCGAGCTGATGGCCCTGGGCAGCGACCCCCGGGTGACACAGCTGCAGTTCAAAATCGTCCGCGTCCTGGAGATGCTGGAGACGCTGGTGAACGAGGGCAGCCTCGCGGCGGAGGAGCTGCGGATGGAGCGCGACAACCTCCGCCGCGAGGTGGACGCGCTGCGCGGCGGGCGCGGGACGGCCAGCCCGGAGGTGAGTGCGCGCCGGGCCGGCGGGGACCCCGGCCCCTCGGGGGCCGGTCCCGCGGGGGTCCAGCTCGCAGGCCCGAAGCTTAATGGCAGTTAACGTTTACTGAGCGTTCCCTAGGTGCTGGGCCCCGGGTCGCGTATGGTCTCAAAGGCTTCCAGCGTTTTAGACCGTGACCCAGAGCAGAGGTCGTCAGGCTTCAGCGTACATCACAGTCAGCTGGAGTGTCCCTAAAACACAGATTTCCAGGCCTCAGCCCGAGTTCCTGATTCAGTAGGTCTGGACTGGGACCTGAATGTGTGTTTCAGATGATTCCCCGGTGACGCTCGTGCTATTGTCCAGGCATCACTCTGAGAATCTTTGACCCAGATTAGGAAATAAAACTTATCTAAAGAGAAATTAGTGCTTGTGACCATGAAAAGACACATGCAAGAATACTCAGAGCAGCTTTAGTCATAATTGTGCCAAACTGGAAACAACCAAATGCACCAGAGGAATGGACAGATTTGTTTTAATTGTGGTATAGTCACACAGTGGAATACTATACATCTATGAAAAAGAAGAGGGTGCCAAGGCACACGACTGGATGGACGACTCACAGATGTTACACTGAGAGACAGAAGCCAGGCACAAAAGAGAGCCTACTGTGTGTGAAATTCAAGAACAGGTACAATAACTTTGTAGAGGACAGATTGATGGAAACTCCGGGGAGGGGACAGTGAAAGGGGCAGGCGTGATGTCTGTAGTGGTTACATGGGTGTCTACAGATGGTGAAAACTATCGAGCTATGAACCAGATTAGTACATTTGGCCCTATGCATGTTATACCTCCATTTTACAAAACTACATCTCAAGAAACAATTCACCCCAACTCTCCCTTAGTGTAAACATTATACACAGACATAATTCCCTATTCTAGTTTTATGAGTTTTTAAATTCTCGTTGCAACTCACTAAACTAATATCATGACTCAGTAGTGGGTCTCCAGCCACAATTAAAAAAAATCTGTCCTAAGTGGATTTTCATTTAATCTTCACCTTATATTATACATATTTTACTGAAATGGAGACATAGAACAGTTAAGTAATTTACTAAAGGACTTACTTAGAGCAGGTAAGGTGGAGGCAGAATCTAAGCTAAGAGATGCGAGTCTTAACCACGCAGTCCTAAAATAGCCCTGGCTGGTTATGCTAACGTTAGGACGGGGGCTGCACGGTGTGGGGCTCTGGGGTTATGCCAGTCAGTCAGACCAGGCCCCTGTCCTCATGGAGCTCGCGTCCAGTGGGAGAGGTAAGACAAGATTCCAAGGTCAGGAAAAAGCAATGGGCACAGGGCAGCCATTCGTAGGCAAGAGCGAGGCTTCTGGCCGCGGCCCCACTACGCTTGTATTTCACTCGTCAGCCATGGTGACGATTATATTTGTCCATAAGGTTCTACTTTTGTATCCATCATGTGAGATGGTTGACTATCTTGATGAGGAGCCTGGCTTTTGAGACTCCAGAGCACTCTGTGTTCTTTTCCTGTCACCGCCAACTGTCACCTCCAACTCCAGGCACGGGGCCGTGGAGGGAGGCCCACAGGGGCCGCGTGGTTCCCCGATGGGGCGCCGTGGACAAGCTTCGGCAGCCGGCAGATGACATGGCACATTGTCTTCCCAAACTAGAGACTTAAGAACGGAGGGTGGAGAAATGGCAGAGACAATGAGTGTTCAGAGGCACCAGACAGTTCCTAAAAATATGCCTTATTTTTTCTAATTATTATTCTTAATTGTAATAAAGTGCACATAAAATTTACCACCTTAACCAGTTTTAAGTTCAGTGGCATTAAATACATTCACATGGTTGTGCAATCATCACCACTATCCTTTCTAGAACTCTCTTCATCTCACAAAACTGAAACTCTGCCTCTTAAATGATTCCCCATCCCCTCCCCACAGTCTTTGATAACCACTGTTCTACTTTCTATCTCTATGAATTTGCCTATTTTAGGTACTTCCTGTAAGTAGAATCATATAATATCTGTCCTCTTGTAACTGGCTCCTTTCACTTGGCATCATGTTTTCAAAGGCTCATTTATGTTGTAGCATGTGTAGAATTTCCTTACTTTTGGGAATTCATTCGTATGGATGAAACACATTTTGTTCATCCACTCATCTGCCGATTCCTGGGTCGCCCTCACCCCTTGGCTAGTGTGAATAGTGGCGCTGTGAACATGGATATATATGTCTCTCCTCAAGTCCCTGCTTTCGATGCTTTTGGGTATCTACTCAGAAGTGGAATTGCTGAATCATATAATAATTTTATTTTTAACTTTTTAAGGATCTGCCATACAGTTTTCTGTAATGGCCGCACCATTTTACATTCTCCACATCCTCACCAATACTTATTTTCTGTTTTATTATGTTTGTTTACAGTAGCCATCCTAATGGCTGTGAGGTAGGTTTGGTTTTTCCTTTCTTTTTAAAAAATTTAAGTTCAAAATTTAAAAGGTACAAAAGTATTTGCCTCCCCATCTCTCTCTACCCCCAGCCACCCACTTCCCCTCCCTGGAAAAAATTTAAATGCTTAGTTTCTGGTATATCCTTCCAGAGGTACTTTATGCAAACACCAGCAAGTATGACTATATTTTTCCATTTTCTTTACACAAATGATATTAGACTGTATACTCTGTTCTGCCTCTTGCTTATTTTCATTTAACACCGCCTGAAAGTTATACTAAGTCAGAATAGAAGGAGCTTCCTCAGCTTTTAATGGCTTTTTAAAACTTGCATTGTAGAATATTATCAGTTGTTCAACCTGAGGGTTCTTGAGTCTTCGGAGCCATCACCCTCCCCCGCTCCCCACCCGCAAGGGGATCGTGATTCTAATCTGAGAGGTCCAGGAATGTGCATGGAAAAAAATTATATTTTTATTTTCACCAACCTGTAATTGAAATGCATCACCTTCTTCAACTATGAACGTAAACAGCAAATCACAGTAATAGTAGCAACACCTGCGACACTCACCAGGAGAAGTCACAGATACTGTCATGTCCCATCACATTGTACTATAGTCCATATCTCAGAACTTTCTTTTCGTTCAGTGTTTTATTAGACCCAAGCTTGATCATGTTATTTAACAAAGAAGCAGGTATGTTAATCATAAATTTGTTTTTAGAAGATTTTGATGAGTGTATATCATCTTAGTTGGTTTCCTTGTAATTCTGTGCCCTTAATTTTGAACATTTAAAAATATTGTTCTATGGGTGGACCTAGAGGGTATTATGCTAAATTAAATAAGTCAGACAGAGAAAGGCAGACACTCTATGATGTCGCTTATATGTAGAATCTAAAAAACAAATGAGCTGTCGAAACAAACAAACTCATAGATACAGAGAACAGACTGATGGTTGGTGAGAGATGTTGTGGGGCTGGGTGAAGAAAGTGAAAAGATTAAGAAGTACAAATTGGCAGTTATAAAAATAGTCACGGGGGTGCAAATACAGCATAGAGAATATAGTCAGTAATATTGTAATAACTCTGTATGGTGTCAAGGGGAGACTAGACTTACTGGGGGGGTCGTAAATTATATAAATGTCTAACCACTATGCTGTACACTTGAAACCAATATTGTAATAGGAAAAAACCCAAACGTTGTTCTGAGAAGGAATCCATTGGGGCTTTACCAGGCTGCCAAAAGGGTCCACGGCACAAAAGAAGGTTAAGAATCTCTGCTTTTAATTGGTCTCTAATCAAAAGATGCCTATTTTTCAATCATTTGCTTTTTATTTGATATGTTATTATCCATTCCCGTTAGTCATTTTGACGCTCAAATTGTTTTCAGTTTGGCCACTAGGAGCTGCTTCTGACAGTATCGTTTTTGATCTCTCCACCCCTCGCACAAAGAAACACTCCA